GGTCCTCTGCCACTAAAAGGTGAATCTGTGAATGCTGAAGGGCCGGTGGATGGAGCACTGCGTTCTGCGTTGGTGATCAACAACAATGTTAATGCCTAATTAATTGATTTACAATTCAGTTAGATATAAATGAAATTACTACCTTGTTTAGACTTTGCTCCAATACACATCTGTCTTGCTCATGTTGCTAGGAAACATCGTAGATTCAGAAGTATGTGCATTGCACGTCCCTCTCCATACCAAAATATGTAGTTGGCTAAAACAGCAGCAGGCTCTTCTAAAGCAAACGCCAAGTACTGACCAACGGGCGATCATACACAAAAGGGCTTTCCCCAACAGATGGAGACAAAAAGGTGGGTTCTTGTGGTTAAGCATTTTTTGCTTTCTCTGTGCAAGGGAAAAATTATTAGAGATGCATGACAAAGTATGCATAACCAACTAAGAAATGTTACCAAGTGACAGCAGTTTTCAGAGCCTAAATGGAAAGGCTTAGTGACTGCAAATGCACTACATGGTAGTAAGTTAATTTCTATTCGGCATGATGTGTATAGCTAGTTTTATTTGGTTAGGTGGATGGTTAGTTAGCACTGAGATACTATAAATCGAGTACTAAAAGATTTGGAGCCTACTTGTCCCATGGCATTATCCAGTATTTCTCTGACAAAATGAGCAAACAAACTAATTGAATCAGCATATTTTTTCCATGGCTAAACATAACTTGTCACTTGGCAGAGCAAAATACATGAAACTCAGCCTTGCATGTAGTGTGCAATATATTAAGGTAAGTCTGAAATAAAGATCATTGTATTTTGCTTTGCCAAGTGTTGTAGACAATCTACTTGTTACCTCACACGCAGATCAGTTCTAGTGGAAGAAAGAAGCAACTCAGATTGGGTTTCTGATTAAGTTGCATCTCTGTAAGCACCACAAGTGGTGAAGAACATTATGGGCAGCACATCTAAAAGGCAAATCAACAACAATATAATAGTTTGGTAGGGCAGTTGGGATCTAAAGAGCATTAGAAGGAGCTTGCATCAAATATAAGGGCACCATTGGCGGATCAATGCATGAAAGAAAATAGCTGAAAGGGGGAAAAAATGTGCAGCATGGTGGAGTAGCATCCTATGAACCATGTTTTTCAGTTCTGCAACATGTTGAAATGTTATGCAAGCTCTACAAGTTTAATAAAGCAGGGAGGTAGAGCTGATCACCGGTGTACTTTTCATGGTTTATGCATGTATCTATCAGTTTTACACTTTCATAACTCTGAAGATCTATTAAAACAAATATAGACTGGGGAAAAACATAATAAGTGAAACCTAAATAAACAGAAACTCTTGATCAGACAACTGAATCTGAGTTATGCAAATGTCGAACAAATATTGTAAGACCTGTTGAACTTGGATCACAATACAGTGCCACTATACTACACGAGTGGAAACTGACAGTTTCTCCAGACAAAATTGCTCTCCAGTTCAATATAGCAGAATCGTTGCACCACATGACTCTATGCTGCTTTGCAATGCTTTTCCTTTTGAAAAGATGTTTTGTAATTAATCTTCCAGGCTCCTGCTTATTGCAAAATATGCTACACTTCACTTGAAGTTGAAATAGATCATTCTCAGCTCACCAACTAACTCAACAGTATGGCAAAACTCAATAAATGATGTGTCTAAATTTGTGCAGATAAGAAAAGGTTTCCTTTGGAGAACTTGGAAAGCAGACATATAGATATATACAAGTTATTGCATTATTGTAAAATTCCTAGATAAGTTTCTACATCAATGCACAACAATGTTTATTTATCTCAAAATCTACATAAACCCTACATTCTTCATTATTTGTAGAGCACAACAAGCTAAAGATTGCAACTTTGTGCACCAATGGCTGGGAAATCCTCCATGTCTTGAATCTGCAGTGGAGGGCTCGAGGTCGAGGCAGGATCACAGGAGGTCGGCGACGAGTCGAGGAGGTGCAGACCTCGAGGCAGAAGGGCGGAGAAGAGCCGAAGTCAGCGAACCGAGGCACGCCACCACGCCGACAGCTGAGAGTGCCCGAGGTGGGAGAGGGCCGCCAGGATCCGATTCGCGCATGGACAGTAAGGAGGTCACCGGTCGCCGTTCAGGGAGACCCTCTCCCCCGTGCGCTACTCGCCGGCACCGCTCAAACATCGCCTCTGTCTCCTCGTAGTTTTTTTTTTTTTTTTTGACAAAGACTCCTCGTAGTTTTTTTTTTTTGATTTGAAGGCTCGGTAGCGCTAGCGCCATCCCTCACCATAGGAGCGAAGCATGCGACTCATGCCTGGGCCGTAGTCCGAGCCTGTGGGCTGGCACGACATGGCACGAAGGGCTCATCGAGCCGTGCCTTCAACGGGCCTGGGCCGTGTCGTGCCGTGCCACCCATTTGTTCTATCTATAACTTAGTGTATCCAAACCTTATTTATGTAGACGCTTAAAGTGACACATAGATTTAGCCCAAGGGCTTGTATCTAGACTATTGTAATAATAATAACCTTATTTATGTAGTGTAATGTTTTCTATAGATTCATAATCGGTTAAAAATGGATGTCCATGATAATTGAGATCTAGGACTATCACAGAGGAGGGTAAAAGAATCAAAATATCGGTTTTAAAATTCGGGTCCATTCGGGTCTAAGACCATTGGAAATGCTAGTTCATGTGGATCCATACGAAAATGCATAAAAAAAAGTCAGGGCATTCACTCTTCTCAGTATTCAATTATTCATAGATCATAGAGGCATATAAAGTGTCGTGTTTTTCTCTCGCGGTGTTGCCGGTACCTGGAGCCGTCGATCGAGGCGAGGAGGCCCCGCGCCGCGCATCGATCGCCCTGTGTTGGACACTGAAGTGGAGCGAGCTTCGTGCCCGGCTTCCTTGCGGGTCCACGAGCAGATCGAGGGGGAAATTTCGCCCGGGCCCGCCGCCGCCAGGACAGCTCTGCTCTCGTGCTCGATCGACGACCGCGGTCGCCCTCGCCCCGCTGCGGAAGAATCTTTAATTTGCTGGGGGACGGGCCTTCATGTTGGCGTTTGCTGAAACATGCATCCGCACGTCCGCGAGTTCCGAGGCCATATTTTTTGTGCTCTACGGCGAGGTCTAGAAGTGTTTAGCTGTTCCCACCGCTGTAGACGCGTGCCACTACTATAATCCCGGCCAATTAGACGCGCAAAGTGAAGCAGCGGTTTCACACTGTCGATGTTTCTTTGTTTCTATACTTGTAACTCAGTGTGTATGCTATCACATGCATGCTGGTACATCCAGTGCTAAGATTCCAGTAGACTACTGTATTATGTTCATGGAGTCTTGCCTACGTACCTTGGCTATCGCGTGAAAGTGGTATACGGAGGGGGCATCTCAACCTGTAGGTGTGCTCATGTCGTAGGATGGGCGATCACCGATCAGTGCATGGGTATGATTGCTGTACCTTGGTCGCCACTAGCTAGCTTAGCTTCTGACCTTCTGTGCTGTGCTCGACGACGTGCTAGCATGCAGGCGCCGCGAGTTATTCCGGGGCACGTGGCTTGTAGTTGTAGGTTCAGGTTGTGCACCTTTAATTTGGAGGCGAGAGCGAGAGGCCCTCTCACTCTCAGGGTCGAAATTGAGCATCGACAAGACGTGACAACGCCGTCCGGATACCCGGTGCGCGGCCGGGGCCAAAACATCCGTCGGACCGATCGGCAAAAAGGGGCACGTACGGGGCCATGCTTCGAAACGTCAGTTCATGCCCTCCGTCCGCCCGGCCTTCTCCGCACCAACAACAAATGAAAGAAGAAGACAGAAATCGGACGCGTCACGTCACGTTGGGCGGATCAGTCTCAGGCAGCAGATCACGCCGGCCGTCATCATACGCCTGTCAGTGGCCGGCGAATCACCGAGCCGCCGTAGACTTTACAGGAGCCAGTCGTTTAACCATTGGCTGATTGCGTATCTGATGCTACTGTGCAACATCACGACCACAGAGCGGAGTGCATATGCATGAGACGAAACGGCGACACCTAAGCCTGGCTACGTGCGCGACGCGAGGTGGGTGGAGAGCACAGGGCACTGATTAACACACGCACCTGGGCGTGTTCGGCAGTGACAAGACGCGACCAGGTTTGGCAACATTATAGCCTTCTGGCGCCCTGACGACGGCGTCACGTCTTGGTCGATTGCTCGCTCTAGGCCCGCCGTGCAGTCGCGTTGCGCGGAAACCGGGGGCGCGCAGCGCACTAGTGGATCGAGCGAGCGATCAAGTGGCACTGGCAGTGGCACCAGGCAGACGCCGCGGGCGGGCGCATGGAACTGGAACGCATCCGCCCGTTCTCCCCGACTGCCACTGCCAACGACTGTGAGTCTGTCTGAACTGAACGATGGCGTACGTCCTCCCGCGCGCGCGGGCTGCGGGCGAGCCACGATCGTGGCTCACGGGCCACGGCGCGGCTGCCCGATCGAATCAATCAGGCTCGCCGGCCTGAAGGTGCTGCTGCAGGTCGATGGCGACGTGCAAATCCCAACCGCGTCGAAGCGGTCTCACGCCGCGGACGGCGGACGGCTGCCTGCCTGGTTGGTGGCTTGGTGTGATGCGGTTCGCCAACCATCACACACGCGCCGAGCTCCAAAGTACCCTTTTTGCCGCGTAAGTAGCTCATTAGTCATTATACACGAAAGGGGAAAATATATACATCCACATTAATTAATAACAAGGAGACTAGAGATACACGGACGAGAAAAGAGGTAATATGTACAGTACACAACAGGCCAAGCTCGCAAAATTAACATGAACGAGACTAAGAGAGATTACCCGTCAGAGAGACAGAGACTACAGAACAGAGTCTGCATTAAGCAATAGTCATCAGGCCAAGGACGGCAGAGCCAAATGCACGTACGCACGCAACAAAGCACATGCTCAATTCTATTGCCATTACTTCCGTCTGACAAGGTTAATCGATCCTATCAACACCACAGCGCCGCCGAGCCGACCGTTGGTGACGAATAAGCTCATGGAAAGAGCGTCTCCCGCACGTCGGCGAACGCCGCGAGGATCGCCGGGTAGTGCCGCGGCGAGTTGAGCACGAGGTACGTCTCCAGCAGCCGCTCCGCGCTGTGGTCCCCCTCGCCGTCGTCGTTGCCGTCCCCGCCAGCGCCAGCGGGCCACTCGGCGATCATCTCTTGCATGGACTTGCGGAAGTCCTCGTACGGGTCGGCGGAGCGTTTCACCACCGCGAACCCGCCGTCCGTCGCGGCGGACGCCGTGGAGCCACGCGGGAGCTCGAAGCTGTACCGGCAGCTCTGCGACGAGCCGCGGCGCCGCGCGGCGGAGGCCGGTGCCGGCGGCGCGCGGCACGGGCCCGAGACGGACGCGCGCGCCCTGGTGGTGGTGTTCTTGCGCGGGCAGTTGTAGAAGTCGGACGAGTCGGACGAGAAGCTCCGCGACGAGAAGAGGTTCCTCGAGTCCTCGTCGTCGGAGGACGAGCTGCTGACCAGCCGGCGCGACGAGTGCGTCGACAGCCGGCGCGAGGAGCTGTTGGTGTTGGTGTTGGCCCGCTCCTTCCACCTCGCAACCGGCGGCAGCGGCGGCAGGTGCGCCACGAACGGCGACGACGGGGGGCACTTGCGGCCCTCCCACTCGCCGCCGGCGGCCGTGGACCGCCGCTCCGCCTTCCTGGCGTCCGCAGCGTCGAACGAGAGGAGGGACGGGTCGGCCGCGTCAATGGAGCGGCGGCCTGCGCAGTCGATGGTGATGTGGACCAGAGGCGCGGGCCGCGGCGCGGAGAGGGACAGGCGGCGGTCGACGATCCCATTCCCACTCCCACCCCCGGGCTGCTTCCTGCCGCTGCCGCCGAGGCGGGAGTAGGACGGGAATGCCAATGGCGGCGGCAGCTTCGCCTCGCCCTCGTTGTCGCGGCGCTTCCTGCCGCCGCCCCCCGCGCGCCGGGAGAACACCGAGAGGATCGCCGCGAGGCGGTGCTTCAGCTTCTTGCGCCCGGTGCCAGCGCCCGCGCTGGAGTCCTCCATGGCCTCGCGAAGGTGCATGTGCTCTTGCTTGATTCTCCGGTTGCCTTGCTGCCTCTGAGCGTGCGTGCGCGGCGTGGGGTGTGGTGGTCTGTGGAGAGAAAAGCGGTGGCGGGGGCGGGAGCGGGAGCGGGTGTTGGTCTATCGCATTCGTGCCGGGCTAATGCGGCCTCGCGCGCGCGGCTTTAACCGCCCGAGCCGCGAGCTAGAAACAAAAAAACCGCCAGGTACGGCCGCCCAGGCCTCCAGACAGACAGAGACATGGTGTGGCCGTGTGGTAGGAGTGGGCAACCTCTGGTCGTGGGCGGTGGGCGCGCTCTCGCTTCGCTCGCTCGCTCGCACGTAACGTAAGTGGGGAGAACCGGAGAAGAGATGGCGCCGTTACGGCCGTACGGGTACGGTCACCACGTCGTGCGCGGCCGCCGGATGCCGTATTCGCTGTATCCCAGATGCGTTTACTATTCTTCCTGGATCTAGCTTATGAACAAGGAATACGTACAAGATTGGTTCTTCGTGCCATGCTAACGTCGCGATGCTTGCTTGTGCGTGCTGCGTCGCATTGCATGGGTCCGGGCGTGGGCGGCTCGTGACTCGTGAGCGCCGCGCTGCGTGCACGTGGAACGCTGCGTGTTTTCGCCGGAGTCAGCTGGTTGAAAGTAAGCTTTCCGTGAAGGGAGGGAACAGCTACAGCTTTGTGATCGCAGACTGGCTCAAAACAGAACACACAGGTGCAAGTGCAAGGCAGGCGTTGGGCCGCAACACAGTTTGGGTAAGGCCCCGTTTAGTTTTCCCAAAAGCCAAAAATTTTTACACAGTAAGTGTCACATCGAATCTTGCGGCACATGCATGGAGTACTAAATGTAGACGAAAAAAAAACTAATTGCACAGTTGGGTGAGAAATTGCGAGACGAAACTTTCGAACATAATTAATCCATAATTAGACACTAATTACCAAATACAAATGGAAGTGCTACAGTACCCAAAATCCAAAAATTTTCGGATCTAAACGCGCCCTAAAGTGAAGACACGGGAGTATCGAGCTGTGTCTACTGTCTACTTGCCGCTTTCCGTGCGATCAACCGCCCTTTCTGCAAGGCTGCAACTGCCCCCAAGGCCAGACCCCAGTTACTGTGCATGACTACATTGGAGCCGGCGAGTACCGGGCATTGACTACGGCAACTCCACTCACCACTCTGCAACTGTACACCACTGCCGCGGCACAGCTGTCTACTATTATAAACGTTCCAATAAAACAAAAAAAAAACTGTCTAATAGTATACTACAAGTACGTATTTTACCGTACCATTACGTAAGTAACTGAAGCGTTGAACGATTCCTTGCAGCCTTGCTTGCACACACCACCAAGCATAAAACAACACACCTTGTTAGCGTGCTGTTTCTCCATGGCATCAGTACGCGCTGATTGCATTGTTTAGCGGCGAATGCGTGCTCCAGCTGTGGTTAGGCAGGTGAGCTGTTCTCTTGGATTATACAAGCATCTATCTATTGGCGTAGACGGCGCACGGCTTTTTAAGACGTGGCCGTAATACGGACAAACATGTGTTTTTTTAAGAGGAAGACATGGGTGTCAGAACTTTAAACTATAGGTGTAGGACAGATGTACTACTGAAAACCTATGGTTTCACCAGGATCAACAAAATTACAGCCAAGTTTGCCCGTAAATATTAGATATACTCCCGTCACAGTTTACGTGTCACAATATTTTTATCTCAAAATAAATTTATTAAAAAACTAGATTCAAATATCTATCAATGATACTAATTATGTATTATAAATATTAATATTTTTAATATATATTTAGTTAAAGCTGTTTCTCAGAAAGTAAAGCGAAAACAGACATTCAGCGACGGACGGAGTATGATCAGCATTGGCAAACCTGTACCGGTCCACCGGCTCTTTTCTCAGTTATATATTTTACATAAGACACTGTATGATAGAAGGGGATCCCAATAATGTGGCGCTCTCAATACATTCTGTACACAACAAAGCCATTTCTTAACAGGTCAGGTCAAGTTCATGCACCTCCTGCCATTTGTATGCTGCAGGGTCCAAGGGAGCACATACGAGTAACAAACAAAAAAGTCAGATTCCCGCTGATGATTAGCTGACACCAGGGTTTATTAATCATTTAACCCCACAGCATGCACAAACCTATAATCAGAAGGGAACAAGGGGAAAACATTGGGATTGTACGTGTACACAATAGAAAAACCCAGGATCAGCTGATTTTAGCACCTTGTCTGCATTCCCAGAGTGTTGATTGGGTAATCATGCACAGGGGTCATATTGGACAGTTAACAGCTCAAACGGCGGATTAGTTGGTGCGAAAGCCTGATTGCGGAGGTGCCAGACTGCTCATGCATCAATGAGAGACAGTGCTTTGTATGCTGTTTCAGTTGCTTCGATCCGGTTTAGCTATCATTGTATCTCAATGCTTGAGCCAATAATTCCTAAGCTGAGACATGTGCAGGAGTATCTCATCGCGGCCCTGGTTGGTCACGCTGCTCGTCATGATCCAAGGAGGCGCAGCCTCGAAGTATTCACGGATTAGGCTCTGGAAAGTTTCCACGTTTTCTTCGGGTCTCCTGCCGCCGTTCTTCTTCTTCTTGCGCTTGTCACATTTTGTGAACACAAGGGTCATGGGAACCTGAACAGAATGGGGTATTAAACAACAGTGCCAGATTTATTGCTCAACAACCTATAGATTCTTCACATGGGTAAACAATAATGCATGTTTGATACGGATGTGATCGCAAGCGCACTACTAGTTACTACATCTGACTGTACACAAGTCCATCAATTACTGTATGTCTGAAAAGGAGTATGTTAGCTGGTGTCCCCAGGACCAAGGCTCATGCCAACATAGGTCGTCCAAAAAGGATTATTCTGCACTACGTAGCTTGCAGCAAAACAGAAATGAGAGTAGGTGAAGTAATGGTTTGCGGTGAAGGCAGCAAGGACAGAAGAGCAAGGAGGTGGGGCTGTTAATTGGTCCTTTGCCCAAAGAGGATTATTTTGCACTAGATTGCAGCAAAACAGAAATGAGAGTAGGCGAAATAATAGTTCGTTGTGAAGGAAGCAAGGACAGAAGAGCATAAGGAGGTGGGGCTGTTAATTAATATTGACTGGGTAGGACATGCGGTCCAGGGTTTGAGAGTTCAGACCTGGTTGCGAAGGGTGGGTGGCTGTGGGCACTGGCGCACTGCAGTATTTATGCCAAGAATGGAACTGGATCTATGCCCAGTACAGGAAAAGGGGAAAAAAAAAGGCACGAAGCTAACACCTTTTCAGAACTTTTTAGTACAGTGTATTAGTATATGTCGGACTGTTACCAGATCCTTTTCTTTTTTACTTTGTATAGTCTTATAAGTTTTAAAAATGAGGTAGGGGGTCCAGACTCCAGAATTAAGCTGCACTCTGCAGACTTCGATGGGTTTTGAAAAGGATAGCACAAAATACAAATGGCAGGCTACATCATAAACCCAATGGCAAAATGCAGAAACAGAGAGCCCATTGCAATTATGTCCTAAATGATCGAATAATTTCATGATAAAAAACTTAGGACTTGCCAAGTTAAGTTCTTTGTGTGAGCAAATAAGTCAGTATCAAATTCTTGGTTTCCTTTGTCCCAGGATGGCAATATGCCTTCAAAGTTCTGACTCAAACCTCTAGGAAAAGATTGATTGCTGCTGCCTAAAGTCTAATACAGTGCCATACTTGTTCTATCGGACAAGTATACATCTTTCATTGTGATGGGTAAATAAATCAGTCAATCTGTTAGGCCTTGATCTGCTGGGGAGAGGACGTAGGGAGTAGGGATAGTAAGTGGAGGAGGAGGGGCGTGAGCGCTGATGGCGTACTGGTGGCGCCGTGGCCGGCGCTGGGAACGAAGACAACAACTAAGACGGAGAACAGTAGGGGCTGGGCGCCCAAGGGTGACAGAAAGTCACAATCCCAGGCTGATTATTCCTTAACCACGGGTTAGGCCATATAGGCCAGCGATTACAAGGAAACAAACTATCTCTCCTTAATTATCTCACATGCAAAACTATCTCAATCACTTATTTTAGGAACGGAACTAATCGCTGCATGCGAGCTGGGCTTGGTCGCTGCATGCACACGCCCTGGCCGTTCCTAGCCACTCGCCTGATCCGCTAGATCCGCCCGATCCCTACGCCTGTACGTCGTGCCGACCATAACATCTCTTCCCCCCTCGGAAAACAGCTCGTCCTCGAGCTAGAACGAGAGGTGAGCTTGGCGGAAACCATCAACAGGCTCCCATGTGGCTTCCGAGGCAGGCATGTTCGCCCACTTGACGAGGATGTGCCAAACTCCGCGGCGTAGGCTGGAACGTAAGACGCGCTCCGGCAGTAGGAGGGGACGCCCATGCTGTAGAGGTGGTAGAGGCGGTGTAGCAGCCGGCGTTGATGCACCACGGAAGGGCTTGAGGGCCCCGACGTGAAACACATCATGGATCCGCGCGTTGTCCGGAAGCCGTAGGCGGTACGCGACCTCGCCAATCCGCTGGAGAACTTGATAGGCCCGGCATACTTAGGGCCGAGCTTGCCTCGCGCGCCGGGAGCAAGAGACTGGGTCTGTCGGTGAAGCAGACGGAGCCAGACCCAGTCCCCCACCGCGAAGGAGATGTCCCTGTGGTTGGCGTTGTAGAACCGCCGCGCGTGCTCCTGGGCCTGCAGCAACTGAGCACGGACGCTTTCCAGGAACTCATCCCGGCTGGACAGGAGGGCGTCAACGGCCTCCGTAGCCGCACAGCCGGGCTCGTAAGCGATGAGGGCCGGCGGTGGACGGCCGTACACCACCGTGAACGGCGTGGTGCGCAGCGAGCTGTGGTAGGCCGTGTTGTAGCAAAACTCGGCCCACGGAAGCCAGTCCAACCAGTCCCGCGGCCGGTCGCCGGTGATGCACCGGAGGTACATGCCAATCATCTTGTTGACCGCCTCGGATTGGCCGTCCGTCTGTGGATGAAAGGCGGTGCTCATGCGGAGTTGGACGCCGGCGAAGCGGAACAAGTCACGCCACACATGTCCAGTGAACACCGGGTCGCGGTCGCTGACAATCGACTCCGGGAAGCCGTGAAGGCGAACGATGTCGTTGAAGAACGCCCGGGCGACAGACGACGCGGTGTACGGGTGGCCCAGGGGGATGAAATGGGTGTATTTGGAGAACCTGTCCACCACAGTTAGCAGCACACTCTTGCCATGTACCTTGGGGAGCGCCTCGACGAAGTCGATGGAGATGTCCGCCCACACGCGCGCCGGCACGGGAAGCGGCTGGAGCAGACCGGCCGGGTGGAGAGCCTCACGGTGCGTCGATCATGGTCGACGTAGAAGTCGTGGCGGAGGCGCTGCAGGGTTTTCTGGGTGCCCTCGTGTGCGACGGTGTGGGCTGCCTGTAGAACGTCCTCGAGCACCAGAGATGACGCCGGGACGAACACCTTGCCGCCCCGGAGAAGCAGGCCATCCCGCGTGTTCCACAGGGCGCCGTGTGCGCCAGCGGCAACGGCGTTGTGGCGCTGGCGTAGCGTGGCATCGGCGTCGATCTCTCGCCGTAGCACGTCATAGAGGTTGAATACCGGGACGGACAACACCGACAGGGTGAGAGCGGTGTCTGTCGCCCCAGGAACAGCCCCATCCGCGGCCTCCAGCACGTCACCCGTGCGTCGAGAGGGCGTCAGCCACGGTATTCGTACGGCCCGGTGTGTACTCCACCCTGAAATCGTGTCCGAACAATTTACTCACCCAGTGGTGCTGCGGGATCGTCGAGAGCCGCTGGTCCAACATATATTTCAATGCGTAGTGGTCCGTCCGCACTACGAACGACCGGCCCCAGAGGTAGGGGCGCCAATGCCGGACCGCCTGGACGAGGCCGATGAGCTCTCGTTCGTACGCGGCAACCTTGAGGTGGCGGGCCGCGAACGGCTTGCTGAAGAAAGCCAACGGCCCGGTGCCCTGGTGAAGCACAGCACCGAAGCCCGTCCCTGAAGCGTCGCAGTCGACCACGAACGGCGCGGAGAAGTCCGGGAGGTGGAGGACCGGCGCGGTGGAGAGGGCGTGCGGGCTTCGAACGCGCCGGTGGCCGCATCGGACCACTGGAACGCGTTCTTCCGGAGTAGCTGGGTCAGCGGTGCTGTGATGGAGCCGAAGTGCTGGATGAACCGCCGATAATAGCCGGCCAACCCGAGGAAGCCGCGTAGGCCCCGGGCCGACCGCGGCTGTGGCCAAGTCCGCACGGCCTCCACCTTCGTCATGTCCATGGCGACCCCCCCGAGGGAGATGACATGACATGCCCCAGGTAGTGAACCGAGGAGGCGGCGAATGTGCACTTGGCGCGCTTGAGGTGCAGCCGGTGCTCGCGCAGAACGTCCAGGACAGCACGCAGGTGGAGCAAGTGCTCAGTCCACGAGGCGCTGTAGATCAAAATGTCGTCGAAGAACACCAGGACACACCGGCGGAGGAAAGGCTGCAGCACAAAATTCATTAGCGCTTGGAACGTTGCCGGCGCGTTGGACAGGCCGAAAGGCATGACCAAGAACTCGAAATGGCCATGATGTGTGCGGAACGCCGTCTTGGCCACGTCGTCGGGGTGGACGCGGACTTGGTGGTAGCCCGGTCGCAGATCCAACTTGGTGAAGAAACGGGCCCCGTGCAGTTCATCCAGGAGCTCCTCGACGACGGGGATCGGGAACTTATCCTTCACCGTGGCCGCGTTGAGCGCGCAGTAGTCCACACAGAAGCGCCAGGAGGCATCCTGTTTCTTCACGAGCAGCACCGGCGTGGAGTAGGGTGATGTGCTCGGCTGTATGATGCCCTGGTGAAGCATCTCGGCGCACTGCTTCTCCAGCTCATCCTTCTGGAGCTGTGGGTAGCGGTAGGGGCGAACCGTGACCGGCTCCGTGTTCAACTTGAGGTGGATGCGGTGGTCGCACGGCCACGCGGGAGGTAAGCCGGTTGGCGATGCGAAGATGTCGGCGTACTCGTCCAGCAAGCGCTCCAAAAGCGATGGTTCAGTCCCCCGGGCGACATGCACCTGGGCCGCGTGCACGCGACCCGTCGAGGTATCCCCCGGACGTGCGGAGCCGACCCCGCGCCATTGGATGCGACGGCCCTGGTGGATGAACGTCATGCAGAGCGCGTCGAAGTCCCAAAGTATGGGTCCCAGCGTGCGCAGCCACGCAACGCCCAGGACCAAGTCGTGGCAGTCGAGGGGTATGGCGTAGCAGTCGACGGAGAAGACGTCGTCCCCGACGCGGACCGCGACGTCACGGGCCAGGCCGCGGCATGCGACACGGTCCCCGTTCGCCACCGTGACGTGGGCGCCACGGCACGAGGTTTTGCGCTACCGGGCCGCCGGGATCTTGACGGTTGTGGGTACTCCGAAGTCCAGCAAGTGAACGCGTGAACCGATGCGACGACGCGCGACCGCATGGTGTCCTTCGCCGATGCTGGTGATCGCAGACAATGAAATCGGGGTCGAACAGCGGCATGGTCGTGCGTGGTGGTCGCGGGCGCAGGAGCATCATCGGGCTCTTCCACGATGTAGTCCGCAGCCTCGAGGAAGAAGAGGCGCGCACATCTGTGGCCACGAACATACGGTTCGTCACAATTGTAGCACAACCCCTGTTTACGCCGCTCGGCCATCTCCTCGGGTGAAAGTTTCTTGAAGGGCCGTGATGTCGAGGACGGACGAGCTCGGAGCCAAGTGAGTCGACGGTGCGGTCGGATGGTAGGCCGGCGGCGGGCGGCGGCCGGTGGCGCCTGGTAAGGGCCAAGGGCATGGCCGCGCAACACGACGATCGTCTGCTGCGCCACGACGAGCCGCATCGCCTTTGGAGGAGGTCTACTGGTCGTGCAACTCAACGTCCACACGAAGGGTCTCAGGCAGCCCCCCGTGAACAACTGGGCCTGTTGGAGAGGCGCCAGGCGGCCGGCATGCGCCAACCGTGCCTGGAACGCTTGCATGTAGGCGTCGAGGGAGTGGAACGGCAGCCGCGCCAAATCGGCGAGATGGTTCGTGCTGATGGCGGGGCTGAACCGGTTGTGACACAGGCGCTTGAACTCCTCCCAATGAGGCTCCCCGACGTCACGCTCCAGGATGTGGTACCACTGTTGGGCAGTGCCATGGAGGTGGTACGAAGCGAGCCAAACCCGATCCACCGAACGGGTTTGTTGGGCGCGGAAGAACTGTTCACACTTGTTCAACCACCCCAAGGGATCCTCCGAGCCGTCATAGGTAGGAAAGGTGAGTTTGTGGTATTTGGGAATGGTGTGACCCTCGGGGTCTAGGGGAATGTGGGTTCTGGGCGATGGTGAGTGCATGGAGGCGGAGGGTAGGGTGGAGGGGTGAGGGTGGATGGATGCGCCCTGGAGGATTGAGGACATAGATGGTAGTGGTGATGGCAACGATGGGAAGGCGATCTGAGTGATCGGCACCCCCGTGGACGGTGGCGCAGAAGGGCCGGAGGAAATCTCTGTGATGATCGGGCGGGCTCCTGACAAATGCCACCGTGGCCCGAGAGGCCCAGTGGTGAACAATGATCGTTAGGTGACGGCAGCCACGATGGACGACCGGGTCTCTACGGCCGTCGGTAGCGCAGCAGCTATGTCGGTCTGGCGGTGGTGAGTGCCGCCACCGCACTGTAGCTCCCTTGGATGGCTTTGGTCATGGTGCAGTGTCTGCTGCGAGGGTGGCAGTGCACCCTGCGATTCTGCGAGGACAAGCGGGTGGTGGTGGTTGTGGAGGTGGATGTCCCAGAGGTGGCCATGGTCTTTGATACCAGGTTGTTAGGCCTTGATCTGCTGGGGAGAGGACGTAGGGAGTAGGGATAGTAAGTGGAGGAGGAGGGGCGTGAGCGCTGATGGCGTACTGGTGGCGCCGTGGCCGGCGCTGGGAACGAAGACAACAACTAAGACGGAGAACAGTAGGGGCTGGGTGCCCAAGGGTGACAGAAAGTCACAATCCCAGGCTGATTATTCCTTAACCACGGGTTAGGCCATATAGGCCAGCGATTACAAGGAAACAAACTATCTCTCCTTAATTATCTCACATGCAAAACTATCTCAATCACTTATTTTAGGAACGGAACTAATCGCTGCATGCGAGCTGGGCTTGGTCGCTGCATGCACACGCCCTGGCCGTTCCTAGCCACTCACCTGATCCGCTCGATCCGCCCGATCCCTACGCCTGTATGTCGTGCCGACCATAACACAATCATAGTTAACTTTGACTAACAAGAACAGATAGCATCCATACACATTTGTGTGTGAAAGCTAAAATGATTGTAAATAAATCTGGTTCAGCTTATTGCTAGAATCATGTGCGCACAAGATTTTCAACTTGACAAACTGGGATATTTCAGCCTTTAGACTTGAGCAGCATTATTTTCTATTGCTCAGATCAACTAGATTATCTACTAACAATATCAAAGAGCACTCCTACCGCATATGGATGAAAGAATGATGGTCAATTACTTCATAAATGGGAGTTCAGTCGTTTCAGAAGTATGCTTACCTTGTTTTGACCAAGCCAACTAGCATAGTCAAGATCAATCTTCTTGGTAGGTATACTTGCATCTATAAGGAGAAAAACAGATACCAAATTCTCCCTACTGAGAAAGTAATTTCTGGTAAATTCATCCCAATTGGTACGAGCTTCCTGTGGTGCAGAAGCATATCTGTTCAATAAAAGCTCTTGTTAATGCAAGAAAATGGATAATATTTCGACTAAATATATCCTCCAACTAATGGGATGCAAATTTATTTTCTATATTTGTGAATTCATGTTTCACTGCTATACATATGACAAATAACAGGCAGTCTGGTTAATTTGCCCAAAGAAAAATCCAAGATCATGTAGCGACGTAGAGTTTTTCAGATATAGATCAAAGTAGAATACATAAAAATATTAGGCACAGACATTCTCAGTCAATATTGAGTCTGTAAAACAAACTTTTGAACTCACAAACACCAATTTGATGACATGGTGTTTTTCACATTTAGACTGAACTATCAACCCATATCTCATTCATGCATATACTACCGATGCAAGATGCTTCATAAGCTTATCAAATGAAAAACTCCTTACATTCTTACTAGTTTCTTGGACAGACCATGCATTGGCCTTTATTGCCAGATCCATTCCAGTAATATTTGCAGTAGCAAGGCTCTGCCCTCCCCCCTCCATTTATCCAAGAGATGGAAGGGCAGAGCTCTTTTTTTTGGTGAAATAAATAAAGAATAAATTCAAAAAGATAAGTTGAAAAGGGTTTGATTAGGGTTGTTTAAGCGATTCCTGTAATTGTTAACCCCTTGCCAATTGATTCTGACTTGTTTTAGAGGATTAAACATGTAACATCATATGCCACCTCATCCATTTCTATGTGAAGAATATTTTCAACCATAAGAAAATATAAATATGTTCATCTCCATGATTATTTTTTTGGAAACTACTAGTAAAAGTAAAAGTCTGCTGATCAGTAGTTTACCCATAACCAGGCAAGTCAACAAGATACCAGCTGTCATTTACTTTGAAATGATTGATACATTGGGTCTTCCCTGCAATAATGAAAATAACCAACAACATTAACGAAATGAAACAAGCTTCTCTGTACAGTTACTACGGTTACCTTTATTAACTTCCTGCTGTACAGATGCAGTATATCTCCAAAGTGTAAAACTAAAGGTGCACAAATGATCAAGCCGGAAGATCTGAAGAAGACTAGGTTGTGAATTTGCAGAGATATTTTCTAGAGATAAAATTGATGCCAGAGCACAATTTAATGGATTTTAGAGATAATTAGTTATAATCCCTAACCAAACAGTTTTATATTCTCACATGGGACAATAGCTCTTAGAAGTAAGAAGCTGGGAAAGTAGTCTCAAATTCTAGTTCCATGTGATGGTAGCTCTTAAATAAAAGCTAAACGTGTGAACAGAGTACCTAGTTGATAAGAGCTTCCAAAAGATAAGCATTACAACAAGAAATGGTATTTAGATTTTAGATAAAGCCAGGACAAGACATATGACCATGGTAAACCAAAGGGAGTTCAGCTTAAGAGCCTCTCTAAAATTCAATCTCTATATCTCCATTTGGAGAGTCATCCCATGAATATTCTCTATGTATATCTCGTGTCTCCAACGGACTCTATAAGTTCCGTTCTCTATACTCCAATGGCTTATCATAATTTTCCTTATGTGAAAAAAGTCATGATACAACTACCATATATTGAATTTAGAGAGCGAGGTAACCTCTCGATTAATGGAGATCGAGAAGGATGGTTTTGGAGAACGGAAAAAATGAAGAGTGGTTTAGAAAGTCTATTGGAGACTGATTTTTTTCTCTCTAAATTTTCTAATAAAGAGCCATATAGAGGTTCTCTTGCAAATGCTCTAAGGGGCCGTTTGGATCCTTTCATTTGGAGGAATTGAAATCTACTCAATAAACTAGGCTATTTGGCTTGGAATTTGACATTCCACCACTTTCCAAAGTTCACATATAAGCCTATCTCAAATTCATAGGGTGGGAGATGAAAATTGATTCTATAGATCACCATGCTATATTTCTACTTTGCAACTTATAACATGCTCTTCAACTCGCTCCCCTACGGTAGAAAATGCAACACATAAGTATCTCTCTCGTATAGCCAGCAATAATATGCAAACATAATCCATATACAACCATATTAACTTAATTAATATGTGTCTAAATTATGATTATTAAAATGAATTCAATTCCAAGGATCCAAACGAGGCCTTTTGTTTGTGGAATTGATTAGTCCATCATTTTCTCACTTCACTTTTTATTTGGTTTGTCGAATGTAATGAGCTGATCCATCATTAGCTCATTCCTCGTAAGCTAATAATTAGTATAAGCATGAGGAATAGAGTCATTTCACCAAATTTGAGGGATGGACTCATGATGCACCACCTCATCTAGGATGGGTTGATTTCTCAAACCAAACACATCAACTGCAACCGCAGGAGCAACGGGCTACATCAATTCCACAAAACAGCGGTTCCTTCAAACACAACTGCGCGAATGCGCAGATTCTCCCGACCTTTCACAGTTTCACCAACTCTGACAGTAGCTACAGTTAACGAAACCGATGCACCATCAACTTCAGATTCACTTCCTCAACAAGTAGGACCTTTAACCACTAATCACTAAATCCTAAACTCGATAACGCTGTAGGGAGAACCGAACAAGGCAGCACCCAGGCAAAGCAAAACCTACCAGGCTTCTTGGAGGTGAGTGCAAGGCGCTTGCGGCGGACAAGCGAGTTGAGCAGCGACGATTTGCCGACGTTGGACCGGCCAACGAGTGCGAACTCCGGAAGACCGTCCCGAGGGCAGTCATCGGGACGCACGCTGCTCTTCACAAAATCTGCGTTGACCACCTGTGCGTCACCGCGCGCGTATGGGCCCAGCACGATGTTGGAGCCCTTAAGGACCCGTGCGCTCACGGCGTCCTGGTCCCCCGCATCCACGGTTGCCCCGGGCGGCACGAAGAGGCGGTCGAGCGGGACCTTTACCTGCACCTTCCCCTGGGGCGCCCCCTCGTCGTCGGACTGGTCGACGGTCTGCGGTGCCACGAGGTGGGACAGCGCGGAGAAGCGCGGCGAGAGGGAGAGGCGGAGCGGCAAACGGGAGGGGCGGAGGGTGGTGGAGATGTGGGTGGAAGGAACCAGCAGTAGGCGAGGGAGGAGGCGGTGGTGGAGGAGCATGGCCGCCGCCGGCGGTCGGGTTTTTCGTGTTTTTAGAGGCGGGGAGAAGGGAAGTGTGCGGCGGCCGGTGGGGTTTGGAGGAGAGTGGAGTGAAGGACCTGCGAAGTGGATTGGGTGGGACCAGAACGGAGATTGCTGGACGTGAGCCGTCCGATTGAAAAACACTGTAGACAATTTGATCTGACTCGGTTTTTGCATATTACTGCACTTCACATTAGATGCCAACTCCGATTTTATTTTTATTGAAAAAAACTAGTATATTCTAAAATATATTTCGTAGAATATTTTTGCTGAAAGTTCAAGTTGTACAAAGTTGACAACTATGTGATAGGTAAAGGTACAAATTTGCCACATTATATTTATATCATATATTTATACAGAAATCTAATGTTTAAAAACTTAAGTACCTTTACCTATCATAATGCTCACAAGTCACAGTGACTTCAAAGTTAAAGATCCCGTCGTCTTCAGAGCATAGGAATTTCAACTGTTTATGTATCCTTCGAGAAATTAGTCCCCATTGAACAGGGTCGATTAGGCTATTTGAAATTGTCGAGCAAACCACGGGTAAACCAGCTTACTGAACTACCACCAGCGCAATGTAGTGTGTCCTCTCAGTTTATACAAAATATATATTGTATGTCAATAAACCATAGTTATAGTTACTCATATAAAGACGCTACATAGGTTCCTCAAAGGCAAAACACCTGGAACATAGCATATATAGCAACTTAAAAGTGCTTACAAAGAACCGAGTAGCATTATGTTTGTCAAGTTGACATTACCACATCTGGCAATATTGCTTATTTCTTGAAACAAAAGAGTATGAACCTGCAGGTTACAAGAACTTCCTCGGTGGTCTTCCTGCATCCTCATCTTGCATGTGCTGCAACACAGAAACTTTCAAAAGTAAAAATCGAATAGAGCTTAGCCAAATTTCAGCTGGTTATCTTTAACTGATGTTATATCAAGTAAAACATCTTTAAACCATTTGCAACTATGACAAATCAGTGCTGTAATGATGCATGTAAAAATGTAAATCCAGCACGACAATATTTCACCTTAAGGACTAGTTTGGATGCACTCGTATTAAAATCGATCTATACGTGTGTTGAAGTGGATTGGGGTGAAAAAAATCCACCCCAATCCACTTCGATACATGTAGATTGAGGTAAATACGAGTACATACAAACAAAGTACCTTTTCCATGTTATGCAATATTACAATAACAGAGAGAGAGAGAGAGCATGTTCATAAGAAATACCCGAAGTGAATATGAGAATGTGCAATTATCGCTTATTGGCAACTGTGCTGTAGATTGTTTTCAGCTTCAAATTAACGATGTTGGTTCTGTTTTGTTTTGAAGCAACATGTAGTAAGTCATATTGTTGTGCAATTTAACAAAAGTACACTAAGACCAAAAAAAAAGAAACACAATAAGGCAATAAAAGGCTTAATAATCCAGTCCTCTTTCCAAGGGGGCGAACAGGGATAGGGACTACCCTATCACCCCTTCACTAACAGAGTTGTGTGTTTGTGAAAAGCTGGATGAAAACTAAGAGTGACATCCCACTTAACCCATCGTAATCAACATGTTAGACAATTGAATAGCTTTTGTTGATCGAACATTACTACACAAAGGTTATACTATGAATTCACAAGATAAGGGATTTGGGACACATTTGGTGTAATATTTGGGCCAGATGCTCAAAGTGTTACAATGTTCTCCACCACTCCAGTGCAATGCTCTTTTTTTTATGGAAAGACTCCAGGGTAATGCTATATATGGATATGGTTGTTTCTTGATGCTGAACTGGTGACATGGAATGTCTGAGATGCCTTTTGGGGGAAAATAATTCCAGTCCTGGCTGATATCACTCATATCATGAACTATTTCATATTTAAACTAAGAAACAAGATGGACTCGGACAGCAATGATAGAGCATGCTCTAGAGAGATAATCTGAGGGTCAAACTGGGCAAGGAAATCAACCTTATGCGGTTATACTAGCTGAGCGATCAAACAATATCAATTGCAACTATCAGAAAATACTTTTTGGGGAATAATAGATGCATTAATGAATGGTAGTTCAAGTACATATATAGACATGAGCTCGACGCCCTCAAGTGCACAGTTCTCTACTATCTCACATACAGATACACATCAGCTAACACTCCCCCACAGGCTGAACAGGGAAATGCGCCAAGCTACCAACCAGTGGCGGTAACACCAAGCAGTAGTATTCGACACCCTTCAATCAGTGGCAGTCCAATAATCACCCGTCGGGATCGCGGCAGCTATAATTTCAATAACAATCGCCCTGTTCGCTTGGACTGCTTATCAGCCATGTAACAGTGTTTTTCTGTCACAACAAATCAGCATCAGTTGGCTTATCAGCAGCAGAAACCATCAGCCAAACAGCTCGACCTCCTCCACTCCCAGCACCCCTGTGTCACTCCCATCCTTTCTCAACCCATGGATGGGAATGGTGGCCGCATGGGTTTCCTACTAGCTTGTTGGTATCTTGGGCTTGTGCAACACCGTGGACGCCTCCTGTTCCACATACGCTCACTGCAGCCTACCTGGCACTGCTGGTTTTCCACGCCCAGTTTCTCACACCAGCTAGCGTGCAGCGCCGTTCCAGTATGGTGGTTTTCCCACACAACAGAAGCAGCCTGCAGCGTTTTGGCATCCGTTGATGAGTGGTTCTTGGGATCAACAGTCCCTTGCAAACGCTGTCAACACCATCGAGTCCATGACATTGAGTTGGCCCTGTCCACTGGTGAGTAGTACATGGACTCGGGTGCTTCCTCGCACATGTCGTTAGATGCCAGTATACTCTCTTTTTCTTGCTCACCTTCACCTTCCACTCATTCATCCATCATCCATCATTGTAGATAATGGGTCTATGCTTCCAGTTACTTCTACCGGCTTGTTCTTTTGCTACCGTGCGTGGTCCCCTTTACGTTCAAAATGTTTTGGTTACTCCAAACATAATTAGAATCCTATTTCTATTTATTGTTTCAGGCCAGACAATAATGGTTCCATTGAGTTTGACCCCTTTGGTCTTTCTGTGAAGGATCTGCGCACACAGAGCATGATTGTCAGGTGCAATAGAACCTGCGAGTTGTGCCCCTTCAGTTGTGCCTAGGCTGTTGCTGCTACCGCACCCACGACCACACTTTGGCATTGTTGACTTGGTTCGCTCATGAAGCCATTGCAAAGATTATTAGTTCAAGTGCCATGCCATGTAACACAAGTACTAGTAGCAATGAACCTCGGAGTCATGCTCGCCAGCTTAGCCCCCACGTGCAGCTCCCTTTTAGTTCATCGCATTCTCGAGCTCTCAATAGTTTTGAGCAACAGTCAGTGAAGGGAGGAAGGCCGGGAAGGGTCAGGCTGTGTTGCAACAGAAAAAAAATACGCATTCCCGAACCAGCAAAAGGGCAGCATGGCAGATGGTTAACAGGAATAGAAGATGGGAGAGAAACCAGTGACACATGAACAGGTGACCAGGGAAACTGATCCCGTGATGGCAATTGCGCTGGGGTAACGTTGGCTAGGGTAAGTGGCACACATGTCGAAGAATCAAACCATCTCGTGACTGATGGATAAGTCATGTGTGGCTGGTCTTTGTGGGGCTGTTGTTGCTCACATGGTCCTTGTGGCTGTTTTTCTGTTTTTAGGACAGCATCTTAGACTAGAGGACAGCATCTTAGACTAGAGGACAGCATCAAGTACAGCATCTTAGCTAGGACAGCATATTAGCATCTTAGACTAGCATCTTGGCATATGCTTGGCTGGCTAGCAGCCTATAAATATGTAACCCCAACCCCTCAGGTTGGTATGGCATTTGTGTGAGCTTGTGTGAGAAATAGACAAGAAAATTGCCCCAACTCCTAGTGTCATCCTCTCTCGATGAGAGTAAGAATTCTCCTACTACCAAGAGTGAGAATTCAGCGACTAACAGTGACACCATGAAAGAAGATAGTTTTTGAGGATAATAGATGCACTAGTTGATGGTAGTTCAAGTACACACACAGCTCGTACACATACATGGACCTCTCCTATCTCACGTACAAGTATATGGCAACACATAAGTTAACAGCAACACTGATGCTAAAACATGAAAACAACAAGAATTTTTTCCTATTCTCTGTGTCCCAGAGACCAGTAGACAGTAGTCACCAACTTTTCTTACTGACCAGGGGAAGTAAGTATTCTCTACTTGGATTACAGAAGAGACTGCGATACATATAAAAAGGAAACGAAATCTTTGATGTCCTTGAGAAGGTTCAGGGCTGGGTAAACATGGGTGAAGTGTTATAAGCTAAACACGGGTGAAGTGTTATAATACCATCAACAAGATTTAACAATTCACATTTCCATTCGAGAAAAATGATACATATCTGGTTATATAAGAACCAGAGGGTGTAATGCTACAATGCTTTGACCTTTTAAGCAACAAGCCAACAAATTAATACCAATATCAGGATGGGCTCGACTCTCAACATGATTTCAGAACCATTCTCATTCTCACCCGCAAAAGGATTCTAGTTTCACAATATATATATATATATATATATATATATATATATATATATATATATATATATATATATATATATATAACTCAAAGTGGCCACAGAATAAGCTATTCTATGGCCAGCTGCAGAACAGTTGTTCTAGAATAACTTATTCTATAACCACCTTGATTTACGATAATATTTGTACCAATTTACGATAACATGAATATGCATTTACGATATTCGTGTTACTATAACTCATGGTGATATTTATCATAATGTTATAGTAAATCACTTAGTAAGGAGTTACTATAATCTGGTAAATTAGCATAGTAATTATCGTAACTCAAAGTGGCCACAGAATAAGTTATTCTATGGCCAGCTGCAGAACAGTAAGGCTATTCTGCAGCTGGCCATAGAATAACTTATTCTGTACCCACCTTAATTTACGATAATGTTTATACCAATTTACGA